AATTCTAGTTTTTGAATAAATATGTGTATGTAAAATATGTATTTTCAAATAGTTAGCTTTTATTTTTAATGATCTGTGGTAATTTTTGCCAGCTCAAACAATCTAAAGTTAAATCACGAAAGTCTGCAAGTTTTTTACATGGTGGTCATTTCTTTTTGAATACTTTAAGGCCAGTACCACGGAATTTATAATATGATTTTTTTTACAACTTAGCGGAACAGCTATTTTAGGAATTCAACCAATTAACTTCTACCAGAATGAGGTTTTATGGCCAAGTTTTAAAATCCGTGGCAGTTCTTTGCAAATTTTCTGATCTGAACAAACTCGATTTCACCAAAATATTCATGAATCAGACATTGGGAGGACCATAAACTTTTGTTTAATGATACATATAATTTAAAAAACCTCTATTTTTTCCTAGGGAAATTTTTGTAATTTTTACCTAGTACGTAAGTAAATGAAAATGTAATGATTCCAATCTTAGAATTAACATATGAAAATAAAAGAAACTCCAAAAATGACTTTATCATTTATGTATTGTGGAACGATTGACGGTAAATTCTGTATCGACGGCAAATCGTTCCACAATACAAAATACGCTCTGAAGGTAGTCCTCGTTTGGCTTTCTTCGGACGGACCTCAAATTTTATCTCTTCGAGTTTTTCCAGTATCTTTTACAGGGTGGGCCGCTGGATAAGCTTGGGCTTGAGGTCAGTCTCATTAGGCTCATCGAAAATTTGCTGCGTGACAGAACTGTCATGGCCGTCTGGGGCAGCGCCTGCTTGCCTCGCATGGTGAGCAGGGGCACCCCGCAGGGCGGGATTATCTCGCCCCTTCTCTGGGTCGTCGTGGTGAACGAGTACTAGTGGAGCTGGAGAAACACGGCTGTCGGGGAATTGCCTATGCAGACGAGTTAAAGGTAAATACCTTGACACGCTGTATGAACTGACCCAACGGTACCTTAACATAGTTACTAACTGGGCGGCCAAAAGTGGCCTCGCCGTCAATCCCAGTAAGACAGAACTGGTCTTATTTACAAGAAAATATAAAATCCTCGCCGCTGTTCTACCCTCGGTTGGTGGTCTGCGCGTACAGGTGTCCGACAGGGTCAAGTACTTGGGCTTGATCCTAGACAGGAAGTTGTCGTGGGGGCCAAACATCGAGGAAAGGGCAAGAAAGGTATCAATGGCCTTGTATTTCAGTAGGGGAGCTATTGGTAAGAGATGGGGTATCTCCTCTAAAGTTGTCTATTGGCTCTACGAGACCGTTGTCAAGCCAATTATGTTTTATGGCGCCCTAATCTGGTGGAACTCACTGGAAAAGGCTACACTAGCTAGGCAGCTGGAACGCCTACAACGGGCTGCATTAATTGGTATTAGTGGGACAGTGCGGACCGCCCCCACATTAGCATTGAACGTAATGTTAAACGTAGCGCTTGTCGACGTTGCAGGCAGAATTTTCGCGGCGCGAACGGCTATTAGACTCAGGGAAACCGATTGGTTGACCAACTTAGGGACTGGACACTCTGGAGTTCTAGGGGGCTTCGATTTCATTCCTGATCGTACGGATTACTGCACCACTGATACGGCTTCTGGGAGCTTCTTCTCTGTCCACTTTCCCTCAAGGGATCAGTGGGCCGGGCGGAACTTCTGGAAGAGGGGTGTGGTGAACTTCTTTACGGATGGATCGAAACTGGACGGCAGGGTTGGTGGAGGGGTCTACTGTCGAGAGCTCTCCATCAGCACTAAGTTCAGGCTCCCGGAATTCTGCAGTATATTCCAGGCGGAAGTAGCTGCTATCAAGGTGGCGGTAGATTCACTGCTAAGGAGCGTTATAACAGTCAGGCAAGTGAGCGTATATTCTGATAGCCAAGCGGCTATCAGGGCCTTGAGTTCGTTAGAGGTGCGCACTAACTTGGTTAAGGAATGTCTGCTCTCTCTTTCGGCCGCGTCGGAATATTTCTGCATTAGGCTTATTTGGGTTCCGGGTCACAGCGACATTGGGGGGAACTGCGTGGTCGACGAGCTGGCCAGGGAAGGAACGCGTGAAACGTTATCACCGGATAAAGAGCGGCTGGCGGTGCCACTGATCATTTGCGGTACGCTCTTAAATAGATGGGCTTCATGTCAGCTCAGCGAACGCTGGACGAATGCCACGACATGCGCGATCGCAAGGTCGTTTTGGCCGAGGGTGGACCGGGGGCGGTCGAGGGCACCCCTCACACTCACAAAGCCACAGCTCTCACTTCTGGTGGGGATCTTAACGGGTCACTGTCCTATCGGTATTCACGCAGTAAGGCTGAACATTATACCGGACCCCTTATGTCGCAGTTGCCTGGAAGAGGACCTCAACACTACCTTCTTAGGTGCCCAGCGTTTGCGAGGCTAAAAGCTCAGTTAGTCTAGACTTAATTTCCGTAACTTAATTTAACTTTATATTTTGGACAACCTGTTATATGAGCAACTGTGTTGGCGGTTAGTTAAAATTTAACTTTCCGTAAGAAACTTGAGAACCTGTAGATTTTAGGTTCTTAAGTTACGGCCTTACGAAAATTGAGAGCGGTGAGAGAATCAGGCTTGCCAGACTATCGTTTTTGTATTTCTTAAAAATAAATGAAAGCAAAAACTTTTTTGGCATGATGTTTATTTTTTTTTTGATGTGGCATTTTAGGCGGTGAACTGTTATTCAGCTGAAAGAGACAACACAAAAACAAAATATTTCCGCTCTTGGCTTAAGTTGACGTGTTGAGTAATCATTGATGATTTCTTACGGTAAGTTAATTTAAGTTAAGTCTAGACTAACTGAGCTTTAAGGTTGAAGTACTTTGGCTCTCACTTTCTAAATAGCTCCGAGCGGCCCTGGGGCATTGAGATCAGCCGTTTTAGTAAATATATAATCGGCTCGGAGCGTTTTAACGATAAAGTTTAGGGGGCCGTTCGAAAGTGTGGTATCACAAAGGACAATCTTATATTGTCCAAGTGAGGTCCGGTTACACGGGGCTGCCACCTTACCTAACCTAACCTAACTTAACCTACAGGGTGGGCCAAATAAGACTTACCACAATTTCCCGCAGCAGGTTCCTAGTTGCCTAGCAGTGTGCGCAGTCGCTCCATCTTGTTGGAACCACAAATTGGGATACTTCTCTGCCGTTGGCCGCAAAAAGTTGTCATTCATTAAAGTTGTCATTCATTGTTCTGGAAGAAGCCCCAGAAATCGTTTCTGGCGTTTCATCCTCATTCTAGAAGAAGTATGGGCCGATAACTTTTTCGGCCATATCACCGTACCAAACAGTGGATCTGGATGGGTGTAACTGGCGCTGATGTGTTGCCCTTGGATTTTTATAGATAGTTTTGCTTGTTGACATAACCATTGAAATTCCATCCGACATCAAAATATTACCTAAAAAATCAATTTGTGTGGCTAATTGTGTAAAACGAATAGCGTATTCTAGTCGTTGTTGGTGGTCTTGATGTAATATGCATTATGATTTTCCAAGAGATTAACTATAACATGCAGAAAGAAAGTAACAATAATTTTTAAAAAGAAAGGGATAACACAATGTTACAACTTGATGGAGGTACCTTGCCATTTTAATGTCAGTCATGTGATGAATAACTGCCATAATTTATCTTTTCGCAAGAGTCTAAGGACTTCACTCAGCTCAAGGCTGTAAAGATTATACAAGTAGTAGTTCGAATTTTTTGCCGGTAAATTGTGAGCTTCATAAAGCATTCTCAAAGATTTGCATAACGGAAATGAAAAGTGAGGGTGACCCTAACGTGTGTAGATTTTCGCATTTTATTTCTATGACGTAAACCAATTACATTCGGTTTTCTTTCAATCAGGGGCCTATTTCATAAAGCGGTAGTGATAATTTTGTAACGACAGGCATTTTCCATGGTGTCAGTGACAATTCGACAGTTTGGTGGGTGTTTTGTTCCATAAAAACAACTGTCACCTCCTCTTAAATTCTATGAGAAATTCCATTGAAAAAAATTGTCGTTGACAAAACTGTCGCCAGTCATATGAAATTTATATGTAAATCATATGTAATAATTGCATTAGCATTATTTTAGTTTTAGGAAATATTCAAAATTATTCAAAAGTAATGAAATTTGCGCCATTACCATATAAATAAATTTACAAAACTCTCCTGTGAAAGCTTTCCGACGGAGCTATTTGGTTTTGTCGCCATTGTCGCGACAACTTTGTCAGAGTGACAATTGTCAGCACAATTCACTGTAATTTTCCAAAAATTTTCAAAGTTGCCTACAAACGTATATGAAACAGGAAAATGTCGCCAACAATTCTGGCAGTGAAATTTTATTGAAAAATCGACAATTGTCGCACCTGTCACTTTTATGAAATAGGCCCCAGATGGTATAGCTCAGTAACAAAAACATTTTATTTTATTTTGATTTTCTCAAATCGATTTTTAGCCCAAATCGTGCTATTCGGTTTCCGGTATATGTACGACTACATTTTTTTTAATTTTCACTATATGTAGTACTCGCATTGAAATCGAAAACGCGCGATTTGTGAAAATCAAAGCTATCCAGCATTCAAGAAATTTGCTCGAATTCGGGATCCGGAACCATGCTTCGTGTCAAACTCTTGGACAATACTATTGGACAGATAAAAAATTCTTAGTTTATATTTTTGATACTAACCCGATTATGAATATGTATAACTACGTATGTATGTATGGTTATGAATGTTGTCATTTTATTTATAGAAATGTTTAAGATAAACTAAACCTGTACTAATAGTATGCATACATATAATTCAGTATAAATAATTTTTCGGGGTAAAGTTACCAAACACTTCTATATGGCTTTTACTAAAAACGAATTCTAGTTTCCCTTCTCCTTAAGCTTATGTTTGTAATATGTCTATTTTGTACTGCACTGAACTTAATAAAATGGATAAGATAGATAATCTACACAATCTGTATTTGCAAAATTATCCTCATTTTTTGCTTAAATTATAACTTAATATAGCTGAACGACAACACTAGCCCTGACAGCCCATCCATTGAATTTGTTCCCGAAACAAATGAGCCATTTTCATCTTATCAAAATAAGTCAAATTCATCGCGTCCAACTTCTCCGGAAAACGAAAGTCTAGCAACAAATGTTGTGTCAAAAAGTCCACTTCGCGAAGAAACACCAAACCCGCCAAAAGATCTGCAAGATAGAAGAAAGTCAATGTCATGGAAAACTTTTAACCTTAAGCGTCAATTATCCAAAGTCAATATGAAAATTGGAATCAATGTTAATAACGAAATCGATCTTATTAAAAACAATTCAGTCTTTTACACTCAAAAAGAAGTATCGCCTGAGGAAAATGGAGGCGGCGACGGTTTATCGCCAAACGACAAGACGAGTAGGAGCGACAGCAAAGAAAACACTTGTGATTTTAGCAATGAACTTAATGTAGATCCACCTGATAGCGATGATAAACCATTAAGCAGTTTTCAAACAAAAGGTTGTAATAATTCCAGTTTAAGCACATACGATGTTGAAGCAGATGGCGGTGATATTTTTGACATTCCAAATGACGCTCAAGCAAATACGAAAAAAGTTGAGTTTGAAAAAGATACCGAGGATTTTCAAACTTCAAGACCTTGTGATTTACCACTCTCTGCGATCAGTGACGCAATTCAGGGAGAGCATGTGTGCGTTAAAACAGCGTGTAAAAAGTTTAAAGAGAAACAAAGGGATCAGCGGCTCTTATCTGTTCCAAATATAAAATATCAAACCCGAGATATTCGAGCAAGGACAAATAAAATTGACTCTTCACCGTCCATAAGTGGAAATATTTCAAAAAAGATAAGTAAGTACTCTTCTAGCTAAAAAAAACCCCAAACAACACAATTGTATATTTTGACATTACAAAGCATCGTAGGTGTAACAATTCAGCCAAATGTATGGTACATACAAATAATATATGTAAATTAAAATAAAAACTCGCAACAGAGGAAACTTAGTTAAGAAAACAAAGATGCTAGATGCTTCAAGAGAAACAAAAGTAAAGAAGATTTTCACCGCTTCTCGGAAATATTCAGAACCTTTGCTGTATTGAATTTTGTTTTATATTAAGTATAGGCTGATGAAGGTGAGTCTTGTTAAGGTCATGTATTTGAATGAATTAGGAAAGGAATGAATGAGATACCTTTTTAAATACACATCTACTACTTTTATCGATTATATAGCTTGGAACTCTGTTACACGAAATGTAAATGCTACTTTTCTGATACGTTCTAATTAGGGATGCCAATATATCAGGAAAATTGGGATCCCGGGATTTCGGGATATTTTTTAGGTAATCCCGGGATCCCGGGATTTATCCCGGGATTCAAATTGAATCATAAATTTANTTTATCCCGGGATTCAAATTGAGTCATAAATTTTATGAATATGAGTAAAAATTCAATATCTGAAAGCATTTAAACATACCATTAAATAAAACTATTTAAAATTTACGATAAACTGATTGTAAAACTCATATATCGCTAGCTTAGAGTGAAAAGTTGCTAACTTCACTTTTAATGAAAAATCATATTTTGATATAGGAGGCTAGATAAATTAAAATTGCAACGTTTCGAAATGGGTAAAGGTCCTTGTTTTATGTTTTCTCGTTTATATTCAATGAAAGGAAAATTTGTTAAGGCCAAAAACAGCTCCGAAAATTCGGTAAGGCCAAAAAAGTTCGAAATATTTTAATAAATATCGAATCCCTCCGATTCGTATGGAGTTTTTCTTTTCTTTAAACAGGCAAAATGTTTTATTTAAAGTTTTGCGAAATACTTGAAGAAAATGGCTATACGAAGTTTTTTCCTCTCCTGTACAATTTTTAAATTGGGACTTAGCAACTTTGCATTCTACGCTAGCGATATTTATTAAATCAGAAAAATTTTAATGTAAAACATTTTTTTCATTGTATTTAAAAAACCATGTGATTGAGGAACGTATACATCACAAATAATAATGTAAATACCAGGTACTTTTGAAAGTGACGATTAATAAAAAAAAAAAAAACAAAAATATACAAAAACAATTTCTTTAAACATGTTTATTCTACTCTATAAAGAAATGGCGAATGGAGAATTTTTTGCCATTTTTTTCGCAATTTACTAGACATTTTGAGAGTGTACGAGTCAAACGGATCTCAGAATCGGATTCAGCGGGTCGAAATACATGTTGGTAGTTGGGTCTGGTTAAAAACACAAACCCCTTTTTTGCCGGTGTTGTTATTATTGCACTTAAAATGTTTTCGTAAGAGCAGCAAAGCATTCAAAGCGGAGTCTTCTAAGCTTGACCTGCAGTTTTTACATACAAAACCTACTGATGAAAAACATATTTCGGCATCAACACTTTTAGGCTGAACTGTCAAAAGGTAGACATAATCCATTTGAAGATAATGACCCCTATCTCCTCCATTACAAAATATTTGAACATCTTTTACCAGCACGTCGGTCAAATTATAAGTTTTTCGATTTGAGGAAGTTTTGAGTAGATTGATCTAAAAAAATTTATATAACTTTTCCTTAGAACTCTCTGTTTCGTTTACATTAGCGACACTATGAGTAAATTCATTAAAATCTTCTTCAAAAAAGGCTCACACTGCAATTTAAAAGTACAGTTTCAAGCTTTTTGTTAATTGCAGTCAAAACGGCATTTTACAAAAATCATACTTCAAAATTCATAAACAAATTCTTACTGTCAATTTGATATTTCAAAATTTTCGGGATCCCGGGATTAATGCAAGCAAATCCCGCGATTTCCGGGACTTCAAAAACACCGGGATCCCGGCATCCCTAGTTCTAATATATGGTACATTCGAGTACATACAAAAAATATATAATATGCAAATATATATATATATATGCAAATACATGTCGTGTAAGAGCCTTTTTAGTAAATATACTTTATAATCTAAATTGTTGTTGGGTGATGGTGCAAAAATAAGTCAATATTTATGTCCAATAAATATAAAAAAACTGCCGAGATTGTCAAATTTACTACACCTCTCTACTGGCACTATCTTCTTATAATTGAGCCATATGCAAGCGCAACCATTGCGAAATCAAGCAACGAGAGTTTTCGCCGTCTATCATATCAAAAAATGTTTATCTGTGCAAACGTAGTACCCAGGGTTCGGATTTCCCTCATTTTAGCCCCTCGCTCGCTCGTTAGTTTGCTCTGAGCTTGCGCAACTCACGAGCAACAAGCGAGGCTGTTTGCAAACGAGCACTCGTTAAGTACGAGCGCACGCGCTGAGCAGCCATGGTTGCCACAATTGGTAACTTTCTACCAAAAGTGGTAACTTTTAAACGGTTTGGTAACTTGGTAATTTTTATTTCATTTTGGTAACTTTTGCAACTAAATATCTATTTGCAATACTAGAAAGAAATGAATTATGTTTTGCATGTGCGTAATTATAAAAGCCCTTCGAGTTTCAGTGGCAGCACTACTAACGCTTCTACAAAATTACTTCGATAAAATTAGAATCTGGCAATTTTCGGTAAGGTCCATAAATCGTTTTGATTATTCTGAAACAAGAAAAAATGTCGCGTGCTTTTTACTAGACCCACCTACCGACATGTATTTCGACCCACTGAATTCAAATCTGAGGTCCGTTTGACACGTACACTAAATTATGAAAAAGCGAAAAAAATAAATTTGCGATTTTCGCAATTTACTCGAAATTTTGTTCGAGTCAAACGGACGATTAAAAGCGCCCGCAACTTTTTTGTGTGCCGGTGCCATTATTCCGTGACTCGCAAATATCGGCACATTCCGAACGAAAAATTACACTGAAATTGGCACAACGTCGAAACCGGTTTGTCTCCAAGCCAAATTTGACAAGGGATGATGGAAAATCGCTCCACATTACATCATACTCCTACCCTGAAACACCAACAACGAAAATGAGAATAACGGCCCATGCAACAATGAATTGTAAGAAAAATATTTTTTAATAAAAAAAAATTATTAAATTGTCAATAGCATTTTCAATCTTGATAATTTATCAAGAAAATAGATTTAAACTTCTGTGCTAGAACTGGGAGCTCTTGATAAATAATCAAGAATTGACAAATTATAAAAATATTGAATTTATTAAGTCACAGAAACGAGCTGTAAGTATATACACATTTGTTGTGAAATATAGCAGTTTTATTCAGTATATTTTTTTCTCAGTGAAGAAGTGAAGATTTTGGTAGTGAAGATTTGGTAACTTTTGGTAACTTTTCTTAAGATATTTTGGTAGAAAAAATGTTGGCGAGTGGCAACCATGTGAGCAGCCAGCGAGCGAGTAAGCAAACGAGGGCAGCGCAAGAGTAGACCGGCAAGCAAACGAGGACCTCATTAGCTCTGCCCTCGCGAGGGTGTCGTTGCGAGCGAGGCACTCATTTGCAGCAGCAGACGAGCGAGGCGAGTAAACGAGCGAGGCAAATGAGGCAAGCAGATTAGACAGGCAAACAAACGGGTTGTTTGGTCAGCAAAAATGTATGGGATAAAAATTGCATTAACTAAGAATTTCAAGTAAACGATTGTACGCAGACATGCAGATATGTATATACATACATGTATACACATATGTATGTATTTATTTATGTATATATTCTCATGCACAAAAGAATAGATGCGTGCTATTTTTACCAGTTTTATCTACTAGGTATTCACATATCTGCATACATATCTATGTAGGTATAAGTTTTTTAATGTTCAATAATTTCTTATAAAATTTCAACTTATATACTATGTCTCCATTGTGAGATTTAATGAAGATTTAGCCCTCTGACGAGATTTGACGTTAAATCTTTTGAGATTTATACTATGTCGCCATTGTGAGATTTAATGAAGATTTAGCCCTCTGACGAGATTTGACGTTAAATCTTTTGAGATTTATCATATAAAATTAAATCTCGAAAGGCAGTAGATTTAAGTTAAATCTTCGTCAAATCTTCAATAATATTGATCAAAAAGTACAATTTGTTGGATGTGGCAACCACAAATTCACATGCCATAAGTCAAATGACATTTGTGTTTTCAATATACAGTTGAGGACATTGAAATCTAGCCTGTCATAAAAAAATGAATTTTCGAATTTTTAGGGATTTTTATATTTTTGTTAGTTTGGAAGGAAAATTAGTAATACATATTTACATAACTTTGGTTGTAATAAATTAAGAAAATATTATTTTAAAAACTAAAAATTTAGAATAAATGTTTCATAGTAATATCATGCAGAGTCTTCTCCGCTTTCTATAAGTCATTTACGCGCTGCGACAAAAAATTTATAAATTTCGGTAATGGTTCTGCTTCGATAACATTGCACCGAACATCCTCTAGAACTCAGTTCGTATTCATGATATGCCAAAGGCCCACGATTGGATTTTCGGTTCCGTCCTATGAATAAGAGAGTTCTACATAAATTTTTCTTTCAGCAAATGTTTTTTTACCGTTTTAATAATTTTTCTTAAATTCCGGAAAATGATTCTGAATATGATACCATTCGTTACACTTTCCAAACTATATATTATACATACATATTTACCACGAATAAGAAGCCAATAATATTCAGAATTCATATAATGAAATTCCGCTTGGTACCTTCCTTTTATCTGTCTGTATATCAATGTCCGCAACTGTATTTATAAAATTATACATAAGCAAACGTCAAATATTTAAAAATGTGAACGTCAAACATATCTCGTTGTGGTAATGGAGACGGTTGTGATTTAGCAACTGTATTTATTAAATCTTAATGGATAAATCTCTCAATGGAGACATAGTAATAGACTTAGGTCTCTTTTTATCTTTTCAAAC